TAGCCTTTTCAGCATGGCCTTGTCTTCATCCACTAGTATGTATGGCGTTTACAAGGTCGTTCCATGTTTTCTCAATTGTTTGATAGCTCATTTCATTAGAACTGAAAAAAAAATATTCCATTTCTGGAAGGCACTACGAATTTTACTTAGCTCATTTCACCTACTGAAGGACAATATTCCATTCCTTCCACGTTTGGTCATTTAACGAACAAGTCGCTATAATTATTCAATATGGGTTTTTAGATTTACACTTAAGTATTTTATTTTTAGGGCTGCTAATGTAAGTGGCAATGAGTTTTAAATTTCAAATTTCACTTGTTCATTGATGGTACATAGAAAAGTGATTGACTTATTTCTCTTGTATCTTGCAACTTTTATAAAATAACTTATTAGTTATCAGATTGTTTCACAGATTTAAAAAATTTTTCTACATAGACAACTATATCATCTGCAAACAAAGACTGTATTATTTTGTTCTTACCAATCTGTATACATTTTATTTCCTTTTTTTGTCTTATTGCAGTAGCTAAGTGTTGCAGTAAGATGTTGAAAGCAGAAGTGAAGGGGGATAGCTTTGCTTTGTTTGAAATTTGCCTTCAAATTTCTTATTATTAAGTATGATATTTGCTTTGTCTGAAATTTGAAGCCTTCAAATTTCTTATTATTAAGTATGATATTAGCTATAGGACTTTTGTAGATGTCCTCTATCAAGTTGAGGAAGTCCCTTTCTATTCCTAGTGTGTTAAAATTTTTTATCATGAATGAGTGTTGAATGCTGTCAAATGCTTTTTCTGCATCTATTGATATGATTGTGTGATTTTTCTTCATTGGCCTATTGATGTGACGGATTAAATGATATTCCAATGTTAAAACAGCTTTCCATACCTGAAATAAAATCCACTTGATTGTGGCGTAGATGATAAGTGCTATCTCCAATAGCAAATTGAATCCAATAATGTATAAAAGTATACACTTTTATGTTGAGGATTTTTTTATCTATGTTCATGAGAGATACTCGTCTATAGTTTTATTTTCTTGTAATGTCTTTGAATTTTTATATTAAGGTAATGCTGACCTTATAGAATGAGTTGGGGAGTATTCCTCCTGCTTCTGTCTTCTGTAAGATACTATGGAGCATTGATATAATATTGTCCTTAAATATTTGATAGAATTCACCAATAAACTCATCTGGGATTAGTATTTTTTGTTTTTTAACATCACTTTTTATTTAATTTCTTTAATAGATATAGTCCTATGCAGATTTTCTATTTCTTTTTGTGTGAGTTTTGGCAGATTGTGTCTTTTGAGTAATTGATGCATTTCATATAGGTTATCAAATTTGTGGACTTAGAGTTGCTCATAATATTTGTTCAATATCTGTTTAATGTCTATTGGATCTAGAGTGATAGCTCTGTATCATTTTTATGTGAACAATTTGCATTTAATATCAACCTAAATCTACTTCCAAATAAC